ATAGCCAACCATTAGATGATATGTGGTTGCAAATTAACCATGATTTGTATTCATGAAGGCTTCCACGGCTGGGATCTAATGGTTGTTGTGGGTTTTTCAGGCTCTTTGGCCGTGTTCTGAAGGTTGTTCTTCCAAACGTTTCACCAGTCTCTGGGGCCGGCATCTTCAGAGGACAGCACAGAGTGACAGAGGACAGCACAGAGTGTCCTCTGAAGATGCCGGCCACAGAGACTGGCGGATCTCACCCTGTCAGATTTCTTATGACAGTTTGTAGTGTGTCACTCTTGCTACTTTCAGTATATCTATTATAAGTGGACAGGTCCTCTTATGGACTAAGAATTGGTTGAGAGCCAGGAAACAGAGAGTAGGTGTCAATGGGCAATTTTCACAGTGGAGAGAGATGAAAAGCGGTGTGCCCCAGGGATCTGTCCTGGGACCGGTGCTTTTCAACCTATTCATAAATGACCTGGAGGCAGGGATAAGCAATGAAGTGGCCAAGTTTGCAGATGACAAGAAACTTTTCGGGGTGGTGAGGACCAGAAGGGATTGTGAAGAGCTCCAGAACTGGGAGAATGGAAGGCAAAATGGCAAATGTGTTTCAGTATAAGAAAATGTAAAGTAATGTACATCGTGGCAAAAAATCAAAACTTTATTTATCAGCTGATGGTTTCTGAGCTCTCCATGACAGATCAGGAAAGAGATCTTGGTGTGCTGGTGGACAGCTCGATGAAAGTGTCAACCCAGTGCGGCAACAGTGAAGAAGGCAGTTCCATGCTAGGTATCCTTAAAAGGGGGATTGAAAATAAAACAGCCAACATTATAATGCTGTTGTACAAAACGCTGGTAAGGCTCACCTGGAGTATTGCGTACAGTTCTGATCACTACACCTCAAAAAAGACATAGTGGAACTGGAAAAGGTACAGAAGAGAGCAACTAAAATGATGACTGGGCTGGGGCATCTCCCTTATGAGGAAAGGCTACAGCCTTTGGGGCTCTTTAGTCTAGAGAAAATGTGCCTGAGGGGGGACATGATTGAGACTTATAAAACGATGCCGGGGGTGGATAAAGTGGATAGAGGAAAGCTCTTTTCCCTCTCATGCAATACCAGATCCAGGGGACATCCACTCAAATTGAGTATTGGCGGGAGTGAGAACACACAGAAAAATATATTTCTTTACCCAGCATGTTTTTAGTCTGTGGAACTCCTTGCCACAGCATGTGGTGATGGCATCTGGCCTAGATGCGTTTAAAAGGGGAGTGGACAGGTTTCTGGAGGAAAAGTCCATTGCAGGTTACAAGTAAATATCTCAATATGTACCCCAAAAATGTAATAAATTGAGTTTTTCTGCTTGTGGCCCACAGCTCTAAAATAGTATGGGTGCCTGATAAGGATGCCTGACTTCCCCAGGGGTCCTGCAGGAATTTACAGACTTCCCAGGCAAAAACGAAAAGCCTATGATTCATCATAGCTGACATTATCCCAGGAAAGGGTTAATCAGACAATGAAAACAGACAATGAGCAGTAAGCATTTCCAAATTCATCTGAGTATCTCATTGTTGCAATAACTCCAGGTAATGTCAAAACTTGTTAATATTCTACAATTTCATTTCTACATCTATTAGGTCCTATATGAAAAAGACAAAATCCAAATGTATTTTAAAAATAATAACTTTCCAGAAGTCATATGCATGTCTCTTTCTCTTGTAAAAATCCTCCTTACAGCTATGAACAAAGTTGTTGGTACAAATGCTTAAAAATATGAAAGATGAACTTAAGTTGTACTTTAATATAAAATACAGGAGCTTTTAGCCTATGAAGGCAGGGAATATGTCTCTATAATATTTCATTAAAAGACACAAACTTCAAAAGTTGTAAAAGCTTCCTTAAAAATGCATAAAAGAACATAAAAGTTCTTATAATAAGAAAATATAAAATGAAAAGTATTACTTGAGCCCCTATTCTTTCTTGTGAAAACTGGCACTAAACTGAATGAGTTACCTATGCTTTGTTATCTTATCAGTAGCTTTGTTCCGAAACAAACAGTACTACTGTATAAGGTAAACTATCTCCAAAGCTGTAGTTTTTCAATTGTACTTTCACTTTTAATGTACCTCCAAAATACCTTTTTCAAAACACTTTTCATTTTTAGGGCAACACATCAGCACCACATGAACTCCTCCTCCTCCTCCTCCTCCTCCTCTTCTTCTTCTTCTTCTTCTTCTTCTTCTTCTTCTTCTTCTTCTTCTTCTTCTTCTTCTTCTTCTTCTTCTTCTTCTTATTATTATTATTATTATT